ACAGAGAAGTTTGTCCTGCTGTTGGAGACCTCTTGTATCACCCCCACCTGGCTGACTGTTCCTCTGTCTGGCTTCCTGGCTTTTAATCCCCTTTCTCCTGCTCTTCCGACCTGCTACTCTGGGTGGGCCTCAGTTTCCCCTCCTCACCTAATCCCTTCGGCTGATTGCTCTTCTGTCTGGGTTCAAGGCTTTTATCCCCTTTCTCCTGCTCTTTCGGCCTGCTACTCTGGCGTCCGTGCGTTGTCTCTCCTCACCTGTAACCCTAGGGCTGACTGCTCTTCTGTCCGGGTTCAGGACTTTTATCCCCTTTTTCCTGCTCTTCCAGCCTGCTACTCTGGGCGGGCCTGAGTTTCCCCTCCTCACCTAATCCCTTCGGCTGATCTAAGAGTATGTTCTGCAAAAGACTAGTTCTGCAAAATCTTGCTCTCAAAGCTCCAGCCAATCCTATTTTAGAGAAATAGCTTTAACTTTGCTTTACCCAGCATTGCCCCAGTTAACTTGCTCACTGAAGTTGTTCTTAAGATATGTCTCAGGATCACAGAGTTAGTGTTCTTTGAGAAGTACTTAGAGCAAAGTGAGTGGATGGTGTGAGTCAGCAACATGCCCCACACTCCCTGTGAACTGCATTTCCTAATCTTCTTCCTCAAGCTTCCTGCCCTTCAGCTGCACTGCCCCTCCCCTGCTGCACTCTCACAGCAGGCATTCCCACCTAGTTTGTACTTCCTCCCCGTCTCTTTCCCCAGGTGGCCACACAGCTCACTCCCTCACTTCTCTCAGGTCTTTCCACAGCTGTTATTTCTCATTGAGACCTTTTTAGCTGGCCATCCTATGTGAAACTGCAAACGTCCCCCTACCTCCATCACCCATATGCACTCTTTTCCTTTCTCTACTTCATTTAACTTCCTAGAACTTACCATAACCTTACATTATATATCTTACATATTTATCTCATTAATATTGGTCTCAACCTCATAGACGATGAGCTCCCTAAAAGCAGGAATTTTTGTGTGTTTGGCTCATTGCTGCACACTCATTCCTCACTTACTGACATAGTTGGGTTCCAAAGGCCAGGTCATTATGTGAAAATCAGCGTTAAGGGAAAATGGAGATCAGAAAAGGAAGAATGACTGTATCATTACATAACTGCCAAATTACATAATTATTTAACTGCCAAACCACTGACAGTCATGGTCCAGCTGAGCTGACACATGACCTTAACCATCACAGCCAGTGTATCTTGCAGCTCGGTGTTCATTACTGCCAGACATACGTCATTAATATGCAAAATAATCAGAGTAGATTTTTTTACTATTGTTGTAAATACAATAAGTGAGGAGCAGATGTATCCTCAATGCCTAGAATAGTACTTGGTATTAAATAAATGAATGAGTAAATTGGGGCTGGATTTAGAAACAGGTGTGAATTCACAATTCTAGGAATCTAAGATCAAATTCAGGGACTAGCCAGTTAGCAGGGATTTAATGCCATTTTAAAAAAGCAATAATACTGATAACCAAAAACCAAACCAAACTCGCTGCCGTGGAGTCAGATCCGACTCATAGCGACCCCTCTTGGGTTTCTGAGGCAGTATCATTACCAAAGTAGATTGCTCAACCTTCCTTCTGAGGAGTGGCTGGTGGGTAGCCATGCATATTATTATTTCTTGATTACCATTGCTTTAGTACTTATTACAGGCTGGAAGGTTGGGCAATCTACTTCTGTAGTAATACTGCCTCGGAAACCCAAGGAGGGGTCACTATGAGTCAGGTCCAACTTGATGGCACATAACAACAACAGGCTGGACATAGTACAAGCATTTCATCTACATTATTTAATTCTCAGAATAAATCTCTGAGTTTTGTAAAATTACTGCAGTTTTACAAAAGAAGAAAACAAGGCAGATAGGAAAGTAGTTTATTCAAAGTCACACAGCCATTAAAACTAGGTCTATCACCCATTAGAACTAGGTCTCCAACATAGAATTGCTTATGAAAAGTTAGGGAAAGCTTCAGGGAGTTGGGGTAGGGGAGTGGTTCATGAAGGCTTGATAACAGTAGGGTTGGGAGTGTCAACTCAGAGATTGGCAGTCAGGCAGAGCAAAGGCAGGAATGCAGGTGGCATCTTCTGAGAGAACAGAACCTGAGAACTGAGATAATTTGTCAGTAAATCATTGGAGCACGTTGGATAGATGAAGAGATGGGGAGTAGAAGGTTTGTTATCAGTGGGTAACCATTGTAAGGTTTTTGGTCTGATGCAATGAAGCATGCTTTAAGATTTGACTGGAAGTTCTCACACAGTCGTATGTTCACGAGCTGCCTTTGGATCTTCTGACTGTGTAGTTGGGGATGGGGCCTGAGACTCTACATTTCTAACTAGCTGCAGGTGATGAAACATGCCTCTAGGACTCCCCTTTGAGCAGGAAGGGGGTTAAAGTGGGAAGAAAGCAAGATAGGCTGATCAGTTAGCATTTTGGTGCCACATAATTACTAAAATGAACATACCATCACATTACTGAAATAATTCTTTTCCACTTACCTCATACTTTGTGCTAGACATTTATAAAGTCCTTTATAAATCTTAACTCTCACCAGCTGTATGAAGTAGTTGTTATTATGATACCCATTTTGCAGATGAGAAAACTGAACTTAAGCCCCTTGCCAGATCATATAGCTTGTTGTTGTTGTTATGTGCCGTCGAGTCAAACCCGACTCATAGTGACCCCTCCTTGGGTTTCCGAGGCAGTATCACTACGGAAGTAGGATTGCCCAACCTTCCTTCCGAGGAGTGGCTGGTAGGTTTGAACCGCCAGCCGTCTGGTTAGCAGGCAAGTGTCTTAGCCACTATGCTACCAGAGCTCCCGATCATATAGCTAGTGACTGGTAAATCCACATTTGAATTCCAGTCATTTAGTTTGAGTTCTAGTTCCTTGCTCTTAATCCCTACTCTAAAACTGCTGGGTTGAGTACAGAGAATGGAGAAATCATGAAAAAAGACAAATCCTGGGTTTGAAGGTTGGCTGACTAAAAAACAAGAAAAAAAATACTGAGACAATATTAACCTAAAGCTTTCCCAGGAAAGAGAAACTATCCCATTTTTTTTAAAAAAAAAGTAAGGGAAATAAATAAAGCTATTGGGAAGCCGCAAAACAATATATTCAGTTCATCTAAATTAGACATAAAACTGGGATTTGGAAAGAAGACAATATTTATAAAACTGATTAATGCCTTTCTATGGTCTGGTAGCATAGTGGCTAAGACACTTGCCTGCTAACCAGACGGCTGGCGGTTCAAACCCACCAGCCAGCCACTCCTCGGAAGGAAGGTTGGGCAATCCTACTTCTGTAGTGATACTGCCTTAGAAACCCAAGGAGGGGTCGCTATGAATCGGGTTTGACTCGACGGCACATAACAACAACAACAACATGGTACAGTATCTATTCAGATTTTGATTGGGCATCTTATTTCACCAGCTTTTTAATACTGAATTTATTCTGTGATAAAATTTGTCTCAAGAAAATTTATGAGATAAAAATTTCTGCTTTTTCTTTCCTGAATGATTTCTTTTGTGACAGGTGAAGAAAGTTATTGTGTATTTAGGTAGAGATAAAACAATGCAGTTGCTCGAGGAACTGGTGAGTGAACTACAGCTGATGGACCCTGTCAGTTCAGGAGTCACTCACATGGATAACCCCCCATATTATCGCATCACTTCCAGTTACAAAATCCCTTCTGTCACCTCAGGTGAGATGTTATTTAAAACTGTGATTACTTGGGATCAAAAGAGATGCTTTATGTAATTGTTCATTTTAGCAAGCATTTATGTATTTAAAGGAGTTCTGGTGGAGTAGTAATTAAATCATTTGGCTGCTAACCAAAAAGGTGGTGATCAGAACCCACCAGCCTCTCTGCAAGAGAAAGATGATGCAATCTGCTTCGGCAGAAATTTGCAGCCTTGGAAACCCTATGGGGCAGTTCTAGTCTGTCCTGTAAGGTCACTTACAGGACTCGGTGGTTTCGTTTTGGCTGATATGTATATAAACATCATTAAGAAAACAAAAGCAGACATGAGTCACGTATGGTGATTAATTTGACAACACTTTTTACAAATTGCCATGAGTAAAGAAATTTGACAGTGTAAAGATTCTTAATATTATAGAGGGAAACATATTTACATTCTTATACAGACCTGGAATATAGATTTGTATATTCCTATAGAAAAAAATGGAGTCCCTGGGTAGTGCAGACAGTGCACTTGGTGGTCACTGAAAGGTTGGAGGTTCAGGTCTACCCAGGTGCACCTCAGAAGAAAGGCCTGGTGATCTGCTTCCTAAAAAATCATCCATTGAGAATCCTGTGGAGCACAGTTCTACTCTGACACACTTGGGTCACCACAAGAGGGCTGACTCAGTGGCAACTGGCTTGTAAAACAAGTGCATTTTTAAATTAATATAATTAGTGTGTTGTATTCTAAAAATGTTTACTTGTTGAAATTATTTGTGTGATTTCACAATTATTTGGATACATATTATGCATAGCATGCAATCCTGTGAGTATATGTGTTTATATGTATACACATAAATTATGATAACTATTTTAATTATTTGAGTTGAAGAAATTATGTCCCTGAGGAAATAGCTTCCACTGAAAGTCAACATACAGTGAAAGTTGTGAAAGCCGTGACAGGAGTAGCTCGTTTCTCTAGGTCTCGCGAGTTTTCTACCTTCACAGGGTGCAACTTAGCACTTTTCTGTAGCCTCTACTGGTAGGACCCAATTGTGTTTTCCTTCTCTAACAAGTTTGTGCCTTACATGGGTTCCGGCTCTCACAGGTTTAACTGTACTGCTGTCTAGGCTATTGTAGATTGAACTCCGTGACGTTCTTACCGTAGCTTTGTATTTTTCTTACTTCTGCTGCTTCTCTTTCTGGAAACGCTAGAAGGAAATCTGGATGTTTTCCATCCCTTAGCCTTTTTTTTCTTTTCCTGCTTTCTAGGAGATTTCTAGTAACTCTTCTATTGAATTTTTTGTTTCTGCTAGAATGCTTTTAATCCTCAAGAGTTTTTTTTAAAGAAAACATCAGAGGTTTTAGCAGCGTCCTATTTGTGTTTCCTGGTTATACTATCTTCTTCTAGATCTTACAAAATTGCCGAGCTTTCTTCTCTCAGGAAAAGTCTCCATTTTCTCTAAATTACTGTTTTGTTTTGTCTGTCTTAGTAAAGGCTTATCTCAAAAGCCTAACACTTCTGTATCTGTACAGAAGATACATAGAAAGTTGAGTATTAAAAAGATGGTTGGTTATAGAACACTCCAACACCTCAATAACAAAAAGACAAACAATCCAATTAAAAAATGGGCAGAAGACATGAATAGACACTTCACCAAGGAGGATATTCAAGCGGCCAACAAACATATGAAGAAATGCTCACGATCATTAGCTATTAGAGAGATGCAAATCAAAACAACAATGAGATACCATCTTGCTCCAGCACTAGTAGCAAAGTTCAACAAGACAGAAAATAACAAATGCTGGCGAGGTTGTGGAGAGATTGGGACTCTCATACACTGCTGGTGGGACTGTCAAATGGTACAACCATTGTGGAAAGCAGTATGGCGATTCCTTCAAAAGTTGGAAATACAAATACCATTTGACCCAGCCATCCCATTACTAGGTATATACCCTAAAGAAGTGAGAGCCATAACAAGAACAGATATATGCACGCCGATGTTCATCGCAGCACTATTTACAATAGCCAAAACTTGGAAACAACCTAGATGTCCAACAACTGAGGAATGGATAACCAAACTTTGGTACATTCACACAATGGAATACTATGCAACGCTAAAGAATAATGTAGAATCTGCAAAACACCGCATAACGTGGATGAACTTGGAGGACATTATGCTGAGCGAAATAAGTCAGTCACAAAAGGACAAATATTGTATTAGTCCATTATTGTGAAAGTTAAGGAAAAGTTTATATATTGGAGGACATTTTCTTTGTTGGTTACCAGGGGTGGGAGGGAAGGGGAGGGAATGCTGTTAGATAGATAGAGATAAATATTGATTTGGGTGAAGAGAAGGGCAATGTACCAAATGTGAGTGACCAATATGGCAGCATTGAGGATGAGAAAGACAGAGAGAGTTACATGGGCAGTACAAACAACAAATATGAACCCCTTTGTAAATAGAATACTGAGTTGTCAATGAAAGCAAACATGGGTATAGGGATGGATAGATGGGTGAACAAGCTAAACAATTATGTATGTCTAAATGGAGAGTGTATCCAAGATCATATACAGGGTTGGCAGACAATGGGCCTCTCGAAGAGTATGAAGGGATGGACACTGGGAGGAGGTAACTATGGGGAGGAAGTGGGAGGGGAGCTGCTGCATGTAAATTTTGGTCAATGACATGAGACAAAGTATATGTGAACTGCTGTATGAAAAGTGAATTTACTCTGTAAATCTTCACCCAAATCCTAAAAAAAAAAAAAGATGGTTGGGTATTCTGTAAGTGAAAGTGGAGCTGACTGATGCTGTCCTTGCTTGTTAGGTAATTTCATTGGTGCCAATGCCTGTAGTTCTCTTCTCTTGGTCTAGTCAGAAAAACTACTAGTTTTCTGCTTACAATAAAGGATATAGAGGTGTATGTGTGTAATGTACATTTAAGCACGCACAAACAGTCTTGAAGCCTCTGGAAGTCAGTGGAGTAAGAAATCCTTCTTCAAGGAATAGGGGTGCAGTCTCTAGTTTTTGGTTTTAGTACTTTCACTTACTCTCCCTTCCTGTGAGTATCTCTGGTGGTGCAGTGCCTAAGACTTTTGACTGGTAACCAAAAGGTTGGCAGTTCAAACCCACTAGCCACTCTGCAGGAGGTAGATGGGGCAATCTACTTCTGTAAAGATTACTGCCTCGGAAACCAATAAGGGTTTCTATGAGTCGGAATCGACTCGATGACAGTTTGGTTTGGTTTGGTTTTCTCCTTTCCTATGCTCAGTCAGATATTCCCTGCTTCAGCTGTGCTTCATAAGCCCTCATCCAGAAGTCTTCTCATGTAGTGTGAGAAGAAAAGGCTTATTTTTGGGTGGGGAGAGAGACAGCCCCTCAGCTATAGGAGGCAGGAAGGTAGATCTGAAAAACATTAGCAGCTTAGGAGTCAGCCTTCTTAAGACTTAGTTACTTCTTGCCCAGTTGTTTCCAGCACCCAAAATTGTGATGCTGTTGTCTCCTTGCCCTTTCTCTTGGTCGTTATGAATACAGGCAGACCCCAGGGTACGAATGAGGTCCATTCCTAAGTATGTTTTTAAGTCTCATTTGTAGATAAGTCGGAACAGGTACATACCATTCTTATTTAGCCTTACTTTAGTGCAAGAAAAGGCTCTCTGGGATTTAAAAGGTGCACGTGCAGCAAGTGAAGGTGATTGTGACGAAGAATTTGTTTCTGGTAGAAGCTGGTTCAGTCTCAGTCTTTCAAAGTGAGGGCCAGTTTACATGATATTAAAGGGCAAGTATGCGTTGCTCCTAAGCCAGGATGTACTTACTCTACATTTCTTTTTTAAAATCACTTTGTTCCCATTTTAGTGGAGTTTTGATATCTCTAATTTGAAGTCTTTTAGTCTCACTGAGTTGTCCTGGGTTTTCTAATTCGCAGGTATTGTTTTACATTCTGATTTACAGGTACTACTTCCAGTAGCAATACTATGGTAGCCCCCATGGATGGCAGTCCTGATACTAAGCCCATAAAGGAGAATATGGAAGAGAGGTAAGTCCTCTACTCTTCATCAGCCTCTTGAATAAATGATAATGGTTTCTGCATTGGGATTTATATTTTGGGGGGTTAAAGTTCTGGTGAAGAAATATATTTCCATATTGGAAATATTTTTCATGCCAACTGTTTTGACATTAAAGATGCTAGATTTTTTAATATACTCTAATGGATGAATAAGTAGAATATGTTTGGTCACTTTTTGTATGGCTTAACGTTTATAGATTTTCCTAAAGGGATATTTATTCTGCATGTTTTGTATAAAATAGATTTGCCCAGAGTATAATTACCGCAATTACTTAAGAGAAATCTTAAAGTAGAAATAGTTGCCTTAAAAGCTTAAACTTCTGAATTTTAAGGTACAAATTAATTCATATCATAGTGTGCTTCTGTTAATGTTTTGTGCTCTGTTTTAAAGACAGAAAGTGAAACATAAAGTACAGATTGCGTTTTACCATGAACCATGACTAACTTCACTGATCGTTTATTTCCATAGCTATGTGCACCTAGACATCTACAGTGGACTAAACAGTCATTTAAATCGTCAACATCACAGGCTAGAATCTCGATACAGTAGCAGCTCTGGAGGATCTTATGAAGAAGAAAAAAGTAATAAATTCCAAGTGCTTTTTATGTCTGTAATGGCAAGAATTATGTTGATTACATTAATTATGTTGATGGTAGTAAAATGATTTTTTTTCTGATAAAAAGCTTTGAAACAGAGTATTTAACTGCCACTAGTGGTGTTCCAACATAGTCTGAAATGTCTTCATTTTAAAGAGCAACAGAAGTGGAGAGTTTTTTTTCTTTTAAGCACAGGTTCCCTATAGAGAAATCAAAAGGAATGTAAGAATTGGTTCCCAAGAGACATCATGGAACACACACACACACACACACACACACACACACACACGCTCATAATAGACTGGTTTTTTGAGTAGACTTGATCCTTCACCATGGATTCACATTTTATTTGAAGAAGTCCTTTGCAATTGCAAAGTGAATGAGCTATCCGAGTCTCACTGTAGAAAAGACACACAAGCTTTCAGACCAGGAAATGCTAGAAAAACAATCTGGTCCAATCTCCTCATTTTGCACATGATGGAACTGAGGTCCAGAGAGGTTAAGTGACTTTCCTGTGTCACACAGAACTCACATTTCCTGACAACATTTTTTACTGCACCCTGCAGCCCCACTGTGGTAGAGCAGATTTCCTCCTGAGATGGGTTTTTCTTGGCCCCATCTCAGGCACTTTAGAAGTGAATAACTTACCAGAAGGCATTATTACAAGGCAGCTTCACCTGTAATGTGGTCTCGTGGCTTGGACATCAATTATGGAATCATTATGAAGTGCTAATGTAGTTTTGCTTTGATAAGCAAGGATGCAACCAGAACTGATAGCTCCTTTTCTCTCTGATTTGCTTTATTTGATAATATTTGTACCCAGGTCTTCCTAGCAAACATACGTTGGAATAATGGGACATTATTTTTATCACTTTCCATTGCTATAAATACTTGATATCTTACTAGAGCTTGCATATATCAGCAGAAAATAGATGGTGAAGAAAATGAGATCATTTTATTTTGATAGGTGATTCAATGCCACTTTATTCTAATTGGCGACTGAAAGTGATGGAGCATAATCAAGGAGAGCCACTACCCTTCCCACCAGCTGGAGGCTGCTGGTCACCACTGGTGGATTACTTGCCTGAAACGTCATCACCTGGATTACCTCTTCACAGGTGGACTACAGCGTCATTCCTTTCATATGAACCAAGTTGCTGTTTAACACTTTCAGCTTTCTTTATGCTATCTGACAGCACAGAACAAAGGCAATCTTCTTTCTTGAGATACTGCAACAAGTTATCAGTGTCTTTAGATTTTAAGAAATCTAAAAACCCAGGGAATTCTGACTGTATACAATTAATAATATTAAATCTAATTCTGCTGCTGCTTTTTCTGGGTGTCTGGCATAGTTACTTGACCTTTCTGGGACCCAGTTACTACATCTGAAAAACAGTATTTTCTAATAAGCACTATTATTTTGAAATGAGTTAAACTGAATTTATACTTTTAAAAATCACAATAGAACAATCACTGCATTCTTTCAAAATTTGTTAATGCACCAAACATGGATTGAACACCTACTATGTGGCAAGCAGTGCGTTAGGTCTTAAGCTTGAAAGATGAAGAAAATAGGGCCCTTGACTTTGAAGATCTCTTAGCAAATAAGTTTGTGTGTCCCCCCAAAAAACTATCACTTTAACTGAATGTTGTCTTCAGCTGTATTTCTTTTTCTCTTTTTTTCTTGATAAAGTTGTATTTTTGTGTAAAATACAATATTAAAGTCTTCCAAATAACGTACACAGCATTTTCTCTAGGTTTGCTCTGGTCCTAGTGAAACATCAGTAATACTCTCATTTGTCACAGGTGTAGCATAGCCGTGATTCTTTTGACTGATCTGATCATTGATCACAGTGTGAAGGTGGAATGGGGAAGCTACCTCCATCTTCTTCTTCATGCAGTTTTTATAGGTAATAAATTTTGTTCTAATTCCTTCATTTTATATTTTTTTATAATTTAAAGGAAGTATGCTCAAAGTTTCCACATGTTTCTATATCTTCATGTTTTATTTCTAAGATTATAATTTACCCACTGCCATAGGGTTTCTAAGGCTGTAAATCTTTGCAGAACCAGACTGCTTCATCTTTCTCCTATAGAGTAGCTGGTAGATTCAAACCCCCAATCTTTTGGTTAGCAGCTGTATGCTTTCACCACTGTGACACCAGAGCTGCAGACTCTATAACACTCCTGGTCTGTTGTTGTTGGGTGCCAGTTGATTTCAACTCAGTGACCCCACGTGCCCAAGCAGAACTGCCCCTGAGACTTTTTTGGCTATAATCTTTATGGAAGGAGATCCAGGTCCTTGTGTTGGGTGGGTTTGAACTGCCAGCCTTTCAATTAGTAGATTAGTAGACAAGCCTTTAACTATTGTGCTACCATTGGGCTCCTTCTAGTCTACCAGGGAATTATTCATATGAAGTATGAATAACTTTTAGCCATAAACAAGTCTATCATCCCTGTTCCCATTCCTACACTATGGTCTTTCCTACCCTCCACCCCAAACACATATACTCCACCAAGAATAATTCTGTAGCTATACAAAGAGTAAAACTAAATCTTTACCTCTGAGATTTAAATAAACTTCAGAATGAATGGAAAAGGCAAGAGGTTATGAGTGTTTAATTACACTCTACCTTGTTCACAAAACAACTGGATTGTGGGCAGCAAGAGAGCGGTCCCATTGTACCCTCTGTAACAGACACATAGGATCTATCACATCTGTAGTATCATTGATGCTTGTAGTAGTGGCTTCCTGAGACAAGTCAAGAAAGCCTGTTTCTCGGAAGTTTTCCTGATAGGTACACTTAGGATATTGCTTCATTCCTTTGACAGTCAAACATATTTACTGAGTATATTTTATGTGCTGCCAAAAAAAAAAAACCCAAAACCAAACCCACTGCCATCAAGTCAATTCTGACTCATAGTGACCTCGATTGGGTTTCTGAGGTGGTACATTTTTATGGACATAGGTTGCCCTATCTTCCTTCCTCAGAGTGGCTGGTAGGTTTGAACCGCCAACCTTCTGGTTAGCAGTCAGATGCCTTAGGTGCCAATCCCCCCCAAAAAAGTAGGCTTTTTTAAAATTCCTTTACATTTACTGTTAAGTAACAGAGTAATAATTTTTAGGAGATATACTCAATTTTGGACATGAGATGTATTGAAAACTTACCTGGATTCTTCTTATTTATCTTTTCTTTTATTATAAGAGTTTGTTTTACATTCAACATTATGTGTACATTTAGTTTCACTTCCCATTTACCATGCCCAGCCCTAACAGTCCCCTCCCCTCCCTGCCCAGTGACCCTCCCCCACTGTGCCCCTCATTGTTATGCACTCCAGTCTGTCCTGCATTATCTCTGTGTGAATGTTGCCCCTCTGTGCCCCATGGTCTATTGCTTCAAGGCATTTATTTCCAGAGAGTATGTGGGTTGAGTGGTCTCCATGTACATCTTGTTAGCTATTGGGCTGAGAGCCGGCCCCTGGGAGTGAGTTTTATTCCAGGTGCAGAATGTATTTCAGGGCCATAGTATTGGGTGGATTCTTCTCTTATTATAGGACAATTGCAAAAAGGGCAAGGCAGCCACATATTCTGACCTCCTAGAACCCCATAAGAGGAAGGCAGAATCACCATCAGTAGCACAAGGCCTATTCCTGCAAGGCCAGACATGCTGCCTCCTTCCAGCTCTTTCACCAACCATTCCTCCCAAAGCACTCACCACCTCTCTCCTGGGTTCGATAATTCACTGCAGTGGCCACACAGAACTCACAGATTATGGGGTTTATTAGGGAAGCACCAGGCTACAATTCAAGTTCAGGAAGAACACTCAGTCTCTCTCCCAGCAGTGTGTGTCCCTCAGTGTCTTACTCAGCAACGCGTGTCTCTTGCATCTCTTTCCCAGCAGCATGTGTCTCTTTCAGTAGCATGTCTTCCTCAACCAGCAGTCAGAGAGAGTTCTGCCTCTAGGAGCCCTCCTTTTGAGCTTGGCAGAGTGGCCAAACCAACCAATCATAACAGAATTCTAAGCACCTGAGAGTGAGCCTCCCATAACATTGCGTTGTGCCACGCCCAACAGAAATAACCCAGGTGGATAACATTTACAATCAGGAGCTCCTCACTTGCTCATTCCACCACTCAGTTTACAATGACTTATGGGTAGAAAAGCCATACTAAATAATTTGCTACACTGCAACAATAAACCCATTGCCATTGAGTCAATTCCAACTCATGGTGAATCCATGTGTTACAGACTAGCACTCAGCTCGGTAGGGTTTTCTTAGCTGTAATCTTTACAACAAATCATCAGAGGTGGGTTCAGACTGCCAACCTTTCAGTTAGGAGTCAAGGACCTAGATAAGATGGTAGGCTTTTGTAAAAATGTATAAAAGTTCTAGGCCAATTAAAATATTTGATGTAATTTCTGCTTTTCTTAAAATGTGACTTTGGTAGCAAGAATATGCACTTTGTTTTATTGATGATTGTTTTCCGCTGTCCTCTTTAGGGTTTGACCACTGCCACCCTGAGGTGTATGAACATTGTAAACGTCTGCTTCTGCATTTACTAATTGTAATGGGATCCAACAGTAACGTCCGGACTGTTGCTTCTGTCCTTCTCAGGAACAAGGAGTTTAATGAGCCCAGGGTGCTTACCGTCAAACAGATTGCACACTTAGATTATTCTTTCACAGGTACTTACTTTACAAGGACAACTTGAAAGGAGGATTATACTTCATTAATGTAGAATTTTGTAATAGGGAAGTCAAATAAAAGTTAAAATACTAGAGAGCCTTTTAGCAAAATGTAGCTTTGTTATTTTAAGTACCATTTACATTATTTACTACCCAATAAAAGGAGAAACTAAACTTAAAAGTATTTAAGTCCATAATGCTTTTAAAGATCTTTATCATAAAAATCTTAAGTTCTGAATATCTAAAATGAAGGTATAATGAAAAATGCTGAGATGTTTGGGTACTTCATGTGAAAAAGAGGTTGAATTTGTATTAGATTCCTCTAAGTCTCAAGATCTGAAAACTTGGCAGAGTAAAATATTTTTAATTTTTTGTTTATTTGGTTATATTTACTGAATTCTTAATGTTACACATTTTTAAATACAGATATTCAGACTTATAAGACTTGATTATTAAATTTATTTCACTGTAGGTTTGAATATTTTTACTTCTAATATTATATTTTTTCCTTTCCTGTTAGCCCCTAACTTATTTATTCCATTCATCAGTATCATTGTGCTAATAAATAAGAGATGGCCTAGAAAATAATTATTTTTGGAAATTGAAATACAGTTACCTTTTTTCCTAATCTTATTTCAGATAGAGTTAATGAATTTAAAAGTTATTTAAAACCCTGCATTTACTTACAACCTTGCACCTAGTAAGAAAAACATTTGTTACATAGGAGTTTGCAGGCTCCTTTAGCCATTTGTAAATATGGGCAGTTATAATAACCTTCAAAATAAAATGTCCAATAATTAATATAGACTTTAAAATAGTCCTTATTTAAGTAAAATGAAGCAGAAAATGTGGAATTCTTTCCATAAGAAATTAAAAATCTTTACACATTATAAAAATGTGACCAGTTTAGTAATGAGTATTGAGGAAATACGCCAAAATATGGGAAAACTGCCACTTTCAACTTTCTTCAGTAGATGGCAGCAGAAGACTTGCACCATAAATCCCAGTGTAGGCACACTTTGCTTTACTGTGCTTGCTAAAATTGTGTTTTTTACACATTGAAGATGTGCAACCCTGCCTCAAGCAAGTCTCTCTTTCATTTTTCCAACAGCATGTACTCAATTTGTGCCTCTGTGTCACATTTTGGTAATTCTCCCAATATTTCAAACTTTCATAATGTTATTGCACACGTATGACTATAGTTATAGTGCATACATAACTTTTATGTAGACTGTCGTTGTTGTTGTTATGTGCCGTTGAGTTGGACCCGACTCACAGCGAACCCCTCCTTGGGTTTCCCAGGAGGTATCACTACGGAAGTAGATTGCCCAGTCTTCCTTCTGAGGAGTGGCTGGTGGGTTTGAACTGCCAGCCTTCTGGTTAGCAGTCAGGTGCCTTAGGCACTATGCCACCAGAGCACTAGCAAACCAAAAATTTGTTGGACACACTTTATTGCAGTATTTACTTTATTGTGGTGATCTGGAACTAAACCTGCAATATCTCTGAAGTATGTCTAATTATTTTAGCAGTGTTGGTAGGTGCTATCAAGTGATCTCCCGCTCATAGCGACCCTATGTACAACAGAATGGAACACTGGCTAATCCTGGCACCAGCCTCACAATGCTTGCTATACCATTGTTGCAGCTACTGTGTCGATCCATCTCTTTGAGGGTCTTCCCTTTTTCATTGACCCTCCACTTTACCAAGCATGAGATCCTTCTCCAGAGAATGGTCCCTTCTGACAGCATGGCCAAAGTAGGCTGTGAAAATGGTGTTTGCTATAAACTCCCAGTATGTGATTGGTGCTTTTGAGGATCCGTCAGAAGGAGTACTGATTTAAATCAGCCACTGCTAACACATTTGCTTATGTGTCCTTTATAATCAATAAAAGCAAGAGTTCAGTTCTGTAAGTATTCTGGCAGGTTCTTTTATGCTTAAATATTCATGACGATCTTTCTCTTTCAGCAGGTGTTAATGATTTTATACCCGATTACCAGCCCTCCCCTATGACTGACTCAGGGCTTAGCTCAAGTTCTACCTCTTCTAGTATCAGCTTAGGAAATAACAGTGCTGCCATTTCCCATCTGCACACCACCCTCCTCAATGAGGTTGACATCTCAGTAGAGCAGGATGGAAAAGTAAAAACCCTCATGGAATTCATTACCTCAAGGTAACGTTTACTGCTTTTACCATTCCAGCAATATGTGTGTTTACATATGATAAGTTGCTCTTTCATTTGTCAGTTGCTGTGGACCATATGTTTATTTGCTGAAGTGATACTGATTTAAAATATACAGATTTGTATTACGCAGTTTTTAAAAATTACGATGCAATCATCACAGGCTTTGTTCTTTTGCATTCACGCAGTTATCCCTGAGAAGGGCCCCATCAGCATTTGCATACTCAGTGCCCACAAAGAATATAGTGTTACCTGAATATATATTCTACTTTGATTAGCTATTTTATCAATCATTTATCAAATATGTATTTGTGATCTACTCTTGCAAAGCGCTGTAAGTAGAAGAGGAAAATAGCTGGGGAGAAAGGAGTTTACATTGCACAGTGAAAACAAAGTCATAGAGGCGGTCAGAATTAGACTGGAAATGGTGAGTAACCTAGTCTGACTGTAACAGGTGAGGAAAGAGTGTCTCAAGACAAGGCTAGAAGAGTAGAGAGAAATCAGCCTGGAGGGTCATGAAGCTTGGGCCATGCAGTTATAGATCTTTACCTTTCAAGAGAGGAGACATTGAATATCTTTGAATTTGTGGCAGGGAGGTCAACCACTCACCGTCATCGAGTGGATTCTGACTCATAGTGACCATTCAAAACATAGTAGAACTGCCACATACAGTTTCCAAGGCCGTAAATTTTTATGGAAGCAGACTGCCTCATCTTTCTCCCAGAGAGCAGCTGATGGGTTTGAACCGTTGACCTTTTGGTTAACAGCCAAATGCTTTAACCACTACACCACTAATTAAATAAATGTGTGAGAAAATCAGCCTCAGAACAGTGTACAGGATGAATTAGAGGTGGAAGGGCCTGGAGGCAGCGTGACCAACTTAAAGTGTTTCAGGGCACTCTGGGCCTGAGGTAATAAGGGACTCAACCACAGTGGTGGCCTTGAGAATGCAAATGTAGAAGCTGTAGGGGATCCAGGAGAAGATGCACAGGTATTTCATTCAGTTCTGTCCACACCTACTCAGTTTAAAGAAAGAATCTGCAGGATATTAGCCCTAAACATTTCTTAAAGCTTTTAGTCAGTACGTTATTTTCTCTACATTTACTCCATAAATTACTTTCTCTGCGTTATAATCTAGCTGCAGTCTACCAGTTTTCTGTAGAAACCCATGTTTTTGACACATGGCAACCCCATGTGCTCCAAAGGTTTCTCTGTAGACGTACATCTTCAGGCCTTTGTTCTGAATAGACTTGAACCTCCAGCCTTTTGGTTAGCAACTGAGTCTGTTAATCTTTTGCACCACCAAGGGACTCTCGCTACAGCCTACCTTTCACCAATTAGAACAATTTGACCTGTAACACGTAAGTAAGCAGTCCTGTTCCATTTGGCAACATGTATCATCTTTTTCCCACTGCCTCTGAGAGATTTGGCTGCAGTGATGGAAGAGTTTGAGGTTATATGTAACCTAGAGCTTCCCCTTCTTGCTATAGACTGTTACTTATCCAATGGAAAGTACTAGTAGACTCTGTGACATACGATTTGATTTATTCAACTACTATGCTTTCTAAGTACAGTATAGTTAAGGTGCAGTCCTCTGCTGCCATCTGCTGAAGAAAGTTTTAGGCAACTAACTATGAGTAAAACTTTTAATGTAAGTTTAAAATACCAGGAATAATATCTGTGCTCTGTTCTCAGAAAAAGAGGGCCTCTTTGGAACCATGAGGATGTTTCTGCCAAGAATCCTAGCATAAAGAGTGCTGAACAGCTAACTGCATTTTTGAAACATGTGGTTTCTGTTTTTAAGCAATCAAGCTCAGGTATCTTTCATTAAATATTTCAGTAATACTTACTTTGAATGAGATACCATTTTAATGTGATATTAAAATTCCTGATAATGCCTAACAAAAGTTGATACTTGATATGTCTAAATAAAAAGTTTTACACAGATTTGGTTTTTTAACTTACAGTGATAACACATTTGTGTTCAGTATGTTTGTTTTGGTTGGGAAAAATATAAATTACTTTTTAAAATGTGAGCAGTGCTACCTAAGCAATTCTAGACTTCTTTGCTTTGTGGATGATGACATCATAAAACTGCAATAGGATTTTGTATTATGAAAGAATTACATTAAAGGAGCATCTGTAGCTATGGCTTAAAATTCCTGTTTATACTGCTGTGGCCTTCTGTGATATAAAATTTAGTAACATTTTGAAAATCTTAATGAAAATATACGTGTTTAAAGCAGTAGTTCTCAACTGGGAGCAAATTTGCTCCATAGGAGAATTTGGCAACGCATGGACGCACATTTGATTGTCTCAACTGAGGGGGATAGGGGTTGCTACTGGAATTTAGTGACTAGAGATCAGGCATGTTGCAGAACACCCCACACTGCCTAGGACAGCTCCTCACAACAGGGAGTTCTCCAGTCCAGCACGACCAAGTTTCAGAAACCCTGGTCTCAAGGAATGGCTCCCTGGAGATTAGAATGCAAAGTTATCTAAAAAGCAAATGGAGTTTAATGAAGAAAAAGCATTTATTTATAAGATACGTATTGAGTGCCTGCTGTTAGCCAGGTATTGTGCTAGGTATTGAGTTTACAATGATTAGTGTCTGACCATAACCCCTGTAATATGAAAAACAAAAACTACCTAATTGCTTCATTTGTGTTCCTAGAAGGAATCCATTTGGAACATCATCTTAGTGAAGTTGCTCTGCAAACAGCACTTTCTTGCTCTTCTCGACACTATGCTGGGAGATCCTTTCAGATCTTCAGGGCCCTAAAGCAGCCTCTTTCTGCAACTACACTTTCTGACGTTCTCTCCAGACTTGTAGAAACTGTAGGGGATCCAGGAGAAGATGCACAGGTATTTCATTAAGTTCTGTCCACACCTACTGAGCAGCCACAAGTCCTCAAGGACTTAGTGCCAACCACCAATTGCTGCAGCTGGACCAAGATAGAATTATTAATATCAAATGTTAGCAAGAAGGCAGTGAATTGAGAAATAAAGTTTTAAGTAAACAAAGTTAAGTTGTACAATTAATAATGTAACAGCATACTGATTGCATCACATGGTCTCTTGCTTGTTAGAAAAAGCTTTATGTACACACAAATAAATAGTTGAATAGTACTCTGGGATGACCACAAGGTAAAAGAGATAAGTGGTAAAATTTAAGCATAAAGAGGAACAGGGAATTTAATTTCTTTAAGGATACGTAAAATGTTGCACTTGAGAACATAAGTCTATCCAGACTAAAGATTTCAACATTATCTGATGAGAAATGAATTTATTCAGCAGATATTTCCCAAATACTTACCATGGACCAGGCACTATGATAGGCAGTAAACAAGACAGAGTTCTTGGGGTTCAGGAGTTTACATTCCATTGGAGGAAGCAGGCCTTTAATCTATTAGTAATAAACCAAAAACCAAACTCACTGCCATTGAGTCAGTTCCGACTCACAGCGACCTCCATTGGGTTTCCGAGGCAGTAAATCTTTATGGAAGTAGATTGCCCCATCTTCCTTCTGCATAGTGGCTGATGGGTATGAACCACCAACCTTCTGGTTAGCAGTCAAATGCCTTAGGCACTATGCCACCAGAACGCCTTAATCTATTAGTAATATATAACACAGTTTCACCGAGAAATCCTGTAAAAATAATAATGAACAGTGTTAAAGAGTGATGGAAAAGAGTGGAGGAAGGAAGCTGTTTTATGTATGATAGTTTCAGAAGGTGATTTTTGAACAGATACTCAAATGAAGTGGGTCACGTGCTGATCTGGGTGATAAGGTTTCAAGCAGAGGAATAATAGTAACAGGTTCAGAGACGCTGAGGTGGAAGCAAGAGGCCTCTTTGAGGGACATAAAGAAAGCCAGTGTAACTGGAATGTAGTGGGTTGGGAAGTAGGGGCCAGTGGCCAGAGATAGGTAAAGTACAGGTCCAGATCGTCCGAGGTCCAGCAGGCCGTGATGAGAGGTGGGATCTTACTCTGAGTTGCTGGGGGACCACGCAAACTTGTTAAAAAGAGAGTAACAGGATATAACTTACATTTTTAAAAAATTAGCAGCTGAGTGAGTATGTTAGGAGGATAAGAATGACAGCAAAGTAGGTTGGTTAAGAACCTGTTTTAACAGAGTTCAGGCTGAAATGGTGATTAAGAATAAGGGAAGCTATGGAGGTAGAGGAAAAGGGGTCTGATTTTTATTTGCAAGACTTTCTGATGGATTCCATTTAGGACGTGAAAGAATGAATCAAGGTGACCCTTAGATTTCTGGCCAGAATTTTGAGTGAATCATGTGCCATTATAATCAGTTTTTCCATTAGTTTGATGAGTTTTCATCAGTTAGCAAGATCATGTTGCCCAAGAGTTTAATCCTTTTGTAATATTAATGTGGAGATTGTTCTGTTTTAGAGTCTCACTGAGAAGCCCACTGCGGTTTCTTGCTCCAGGGCCTGTGTGTGAAAAGTTACTCTCTTTTGCAGGGTTTTGTTATTGAGCTGCTTCTCACGTTGGAATCTGCAATCGATACTTTGGCTGAAACCATGAAGCATTATGATCTTCTTTCTGCACTTTCTCAGTAAGAATTTAAACCAGGCAACTGGTAGATACAGATATAGAACTTTAATGGCTAAATATGAATAATTATAATATTACATTATTCTTAGATTGGTAATGAGAATAATACTCAAAAAAAATCAGTTGGATAACCAGTGGAAAAGGTAACCTCAGAAAATGAGGACTTGTGAAAAATCATAGAGCTAGTAAGTGTAAGTGCCTTCTGATGTCCTGCTCTCTTTCCATAGTGCCACTCAGGCTTCATGTACCAGATCTGAAAGTTATCAATGATTACTTTAGCAAGATTTTATTTTCATGTCAAATCTCAACTCAAAGGAAAGGTGCTGTTACACATTTTGTTGTAATATGAAAGAGAGAACTGAAGTTTGAGTAAATAAAGTCAGATATATTCAAAAATGTTTTTCATACTGACAGCAGTTACTGTTTTTCAGTGTTTTCAAGAGTAAAATTAATGTAGCAAAAGAAGTAATCATGCTTGTTTTTATCTTTTTTTTTTTTAAAGAACCTCATACCATGACCCTATAATGGGAAACAAGTATGCAGCTAACAGGAAAAGCACTGGACAACTCAATCTAAGCACAAGTCCCATTAATAGTAGCAGTTATTTGGGATATAACGGTAATGCAAGAAGTAACTCTTTGAGATTAAGTTTAATTGGTGACCGAAGAGGTGACCGGCAGCGGAGTAACACACTGGATATTATGGACGGACGGATAAACCATAGCAATAGTTTAGCAAGGACTAGAAGCCTTTCCTCTCTAAGAGAGAAAGGAATGTATGATGTGCAGTCCACTACTGAGCCTGCCAACCTGATGGCCACCATTTTTTGGATAGCAGCATCTTTATTAGAATCAGATTATGAATATGAATACCTCCTGGCTCTCAGGCTTCTCAACAAACTGCTTATCCATTTGCCTTTGGACAAATCAGAGAGTCGAGAGAAGATCGAAAATGTACAAAGCAAATTGAAATGGAATAATTTTCCAGGCCTTCAACAGCTCTTCCTTAAGGGTTTTACCTCAGTATCTACCCAAGAAATGACTGTGCACCTCCTCAGTAAACTCATCACTGTCTCCAAACACACATTGGTGGATCCTTCCCAGTTGTCAGGTGATGTGAATATCATTACACCAATACTTTGCTTTTAATGCAGCAAAATGTAAATCAGTCATTTGTTTTGGAATCTACTAATATCTGCTTTTCCGCACACAGTTATAATATTGCTTTTTTGTGAGATAGCTCAAATTATTTGGTTTAAAAAAAAAGAATTTAGAGAATCAAATGTTCCAGAAAAAGAAAAT